TGAGTGGGACGGCCTGGGAGCCGGATAGCTGAGGCTAGCCCTGCTTGTGTCCAAGGCTAGCCCCCCTCATGCTGCATCCCAGTGCTGACCAGACACTTCTTCCCGAGAGCAGGAAGGAACGTTCCTTCCTCCCTTCCTTCCTCCAGGGCATTCCTCATCACGCACTTCACATGCGAAGGTGTCTCCTTCACACCATGTAAGCCTGATGGCAGGACTGTGGGACAGTCACAAGGAAACAACAGCAAATCCTTGAGCCTACATTCTCGGCAGCCAGGAGCCTTCAGCCCAGCCAGAGGAATTAATACATGATTGAGTTGTAGCTGTGATATCGATCTGTGCTAATGTCTGAGGAGACAGAGGCTCGTGGGGGGCGAGGGAAGGGGGCAAACGCATTCAGTGACTCCAGATCAGAGGAGACAGAAAACTCTGAATAGAAAATCACTGTAGGGATGTGAAACTGTGTGGAGGCAGAGCCAGGTGCAGCCAGCATCCCTCGATTCCTTCAACTCTCTGGGGCAGGTATTTATATAATCCCCGTCTTGCAGAGGAGGAAACTGAGCAGCAGAGAGGTTAACCAACTTTCTCAAGGCCACAAAGTAAGTGGCAGAGGTGGTATTCCAATCCCATCCACTGTGATGGGGTACAGAGGAGGCTGGGTCCCAAAAAGATCTCTCCTCTGCAGCCCAAAGCAACGTCCCCTGCTATTTATCTACTATTAAATCTCAGCTCGTCCAGTTCTAGACTGCACTCATACAGAATGATAAAGTTGCACCTGCCCTGGCGAGGGCTGCACAGAAAGAGGGCCCTTTTTCTTCTCTATCTCATTCTAACTTGGTCTCCAAAGCCCAGGCAATTAATTTTGGAATTTGGCACGGATAAAGACCCCTTCTCAGATGTGGCTGTGACCTTGACCTCCAATGTAACCCTCAGTCACCTGGCTTAGGCCCACGTGATCACCAATAGGGCACTGACGACGGAGCAGCACAGTCACCAAGGCCCAAGCACTTGGCTTGGATAAGGTTCTCTTCTATTGCTCTCCTGGTTTGCCCCTGTCTCTGGCCTGTAGTGGAAGGGGCTCTGACTTTCAACGTCACCACGGGGCGGAGATGGGGGGGCAGGCACAATCCGAGGTTTCCCACCCTCTCTGCCCACCCCCAGGCACTCCAGACCTTGCACACAGTGTATTATTAACTACCAGCACCTGATGGAGCCCACGGAGGAAGGACATGAGAAACGGTCGCCTGGTGGCCCAAAGAACTTAATGAGTCACCCTCAGTGCCTCACAGGTAGTCAGGGACTGGGCTGGGCATGGGGGAGAAAAGTAGCAAGTGATTCAAAGGGGCTAAAGGCAGGGCTAAATGAGGCATGCAGATAAACACTCACCCCCTTGCCCAGGGGAGTCACCACAGAGCTAGGTGCATAATAAAAAATGCCAATTTCATTTATCTTCCTGTCTGTGTCCTGCCTAGAGGGAGGACGAGCAGATTAAAAAGCACACTGCATTTATGGGCGGGTTTAATCTTACCACTCGCGGTTCAGAGTTATAACCTCCTCTCTCTGGAGGAGGAATCTTTAACCAAGTCAAGTTCTTGGGCCATGTGTGTCTGTCACTCCTTTATGACACTGTCCTATTAGTGATCACATGGGCCGGGGGCTCAGGGGTCACATTTGAGGCCAAGGTCATGACTACATATGAGAATGGGCTGGCTCACACACTTCACTCCCCTGGCTGCTGACCATACTCCTGACCCTGGTCAGCTCACTTAGAAAGGGTGGCCCTGGTTATCTACCCAGAATAAGGTTTCCTTGAATGTGTTCTCTTGAATGCTAGTTCGTTCGCCATTAATAGTTACTCCTGGAGAAATGGTTTCATGGCTAGTGGTAGATTAAAATCAGGCAGTACCTGTATTGTTAGTACAGGCTTTCTCAGAGCCTTTAAAATGCTAATGTACACTGTGAATCTCCAAGAAGGAGATATGGTGAGGTGTATTTTCCAAATGTATTTGGAGACCTGTTTCCATAGAGAATCTCACCAGGCTAGCACTCCTTAGAGCACGTTCTAGGACATGTCAGCTGCACAGAATGGACCGTACAGGACATGCAGTCTTGATCACCTGGCATCACAGGTGAGGTGTTCTGTGCAGACTGCTCAGCCTATTGGAAAAACAACTCAAAGTGTATGGCGTGGGGAACAAATGTTCAGGCCGCCAGTGGGATCATCAGGAGCCTGAGCTGCAGTGGAACCACTCTCCAACTCCTGAGTTCACCTCCATTTCCCAGGTGTTTAAGTGGCTGCTCTATAACCCAGTGGTCACTGCCATCTCCATGCCCAGCCTCTGCAGGGGCTCATGCTCCATGGCCATCTGGACCTCTGGGTACACAAATCCCTGTGTTCAGAGGAGAAACAAAGGCTGTCTCCATGTATAAAAAGGGTCTTGTCCCAAAATGGCAAGTGTATAGCGTGGGTACCTCGACTCCCTCATGCTGTGGCCAACACAGACATGACTAACTTATCACAGCTCTTTCTCCAAATCTGGAAGCAGCAACAAGTCTTGTCAACACAGTGATCCAGGAGCATTGCCATTTGATCAAAGTTGGCACATGAGATAAAACTTATTTGCTGTCCCCAGACTCATTTACATCTCGTACAGGGGAGCTGCAGGGAGTGGAGCGTCCACACAGGGTGAGGCGTGATGATGGTATTGGCTGTCCCCAATGAGAATTCAGGGAAAGGCTTGGGAAGGTGGGGCAGAGGAAGGGAGTATGGAGCTGTTGTGACTGGGATCTCTTCTGGCCTGGTTTACGAGGGCAAGCTCTTCTTGCTCGTGGGAAATGTCTTTTGAGCTCCTCACATATGTTTTATGGTGGGACCAGTAATGTCATCTCACAGGCCAAGGGCAAATGCATCCATTCACGCATGGAAGTGCACCACCCACTGATACAACGGGCATTCATTAGGGTCCTATAGAGAGGCAGCAGGCACCTAACTCATGGGAAGTGTTTTGTTGCTGATTTACCTTAGAGAGGCAGGCAGAAGAGAGGAGACGTTGTCCCCATTTGGTGAACTGGGGCACTCATCAAAATACAAACAATGAAACAACTGGCCTTGGGTCAATGGACAGGAGAGGCAGAGTGACGTGGACAGAGGCAGGCCCATATGACAAAGCATGCCACAGAGAGAACCTGACTGCATTCCTGGTCCATAAATATCTGTGAGTAATGTGCCCTGGAGTTTGAAACTCTGTCTCATGGGACTTAGAAGACATTATCAGGGCTCAAGAGTTGTGGGCAGCACAGAGATGGGGGCACGTTTGCAGGAAACCATCACAGGCCTGGCAGTGCTGTCACTGCATGGCTGCGTGACAAGCATGGACAGGAACTGAGGAGACATGGTGTCTAGCTGGCCATTTCACAGGGAGCTGCAACCTTGTGAGAGACGTTTCTCCCATCAGGCCTCAGTGACTGCAGTTATGAATGGAGGAGGCTGGACGTTAGTAGCATTTTCCACATATGCACCACATGGGAGACACTACAGAACACACTACACAGATTGCACTGCACATGGTAACTACATACATTTTTGTCTATCCAAAGTCAGTTCTTGAGTCAAGGGGAAAGACTGCCCTCCAAGGCCGTCCTCTCACTCTTCTATAGGAATAAAGTTTTATCTGGGTATATGATGTGGTGGCCCAGCTGGACAGTATGTTTCCCAGCTCCCTTGGGCATCTGTGTGGCCATATGACTAAGTTCAGACTAATGGCATGTGAGAGGAAATTATGTAGGCTTTCTCTGATTCATGCCTTCTACGTGGGTGTGAGTGTCCCTGGCCTCCTTCTCTTCCCCTTGCTGGGTGAGGTGGGGACTTGGACTCACAGGTAGAAGTCCCATGTTGGGGGTGGCAGAGCCACCTTCCAGCCTGAGATCACCCGCTTGCTTACTGACAGAGAAATGAACTTCACCTTGTTTAAGCCCCTGTGTTTTGGGGTGTCTTTGTCATAGTAATTTAGCTTGTACATAACAAATAAAACCCCTTTCGGGGTGAAACTTCCCCCAGATTGGGTGGTTCATTCTGCCCCCTTTGTGGGCTAATCCTGCCATCTAGGCAGACACTGAGACCTGTCTGAGACCAGCTCAAGGACAATGAGCTCTCTGGTGGGTTCTGGGGGAGGAGAACACTGGACACCAGACCTTCTGGATGAATGGAAGGAATTGGGGCTACTGCCTGTGGGTGGCACCACAGGGGCGAGGGTGATCAGTCCTCACATCAGCTCTCCGAGCTTGCTGGAGTTATGTGGTTCTGGGCCTGCTTAGAGGAACGCAAGCACTGGGGAAGAGCCTGTGGGAGCTCTGGTCAGGCCGCCGGCCACCCTCACCTGTTCTGCCCCGGTCACTGTGTAGGCGTGCTGGTTCACCAGCCCGTTCTCCATCACCTCAGCCTCATCTGTCAGCTTCAAAGGAGAAAAGCAGACCAAGTATGAACATCCACACATTCTTCAAAGAGATAGAAAACAGTCCAAGCAGCAGCTGAGCCAGCTGGGCCCCGCAGACGCCCTGGGAGTGGCACATGTGCCTGGAGCTCTTGTCTAGAGAGGCAGATTTGGGAGGCCGCTGGGTATTGAGGCTCCAGGTATTTCGTGCCTCCAAAGACCACTCCCGTGACTGAAGGAGCCCCACAGAGCCCTGAGGACCCGGGCTGCTTGCCCTGCCAACCCCTCCTCATCAGTAAGACGCAGCACAGAACATGTCTGCTGAGTCATCTGCAGGAGTCAGGAATCCGCGACCCCGTGCTGTGGGTAATTGGGGTTTCAAGTGCACCTTAGGTTTCTGGTGGCTGTCAGATTAGAAATGTGTGACTCAAAGCTCACATGTTTAAAGAGTAAAGAAAGTGTACCCATGGATAGGGAGCCCGATGGCTCAGAACAGACTCTAATAATTTGGAGGGTCATCCAAGCTTTTCAAAAGGTGACATGCTGTCCTTGGGGTACTGCCTTTAAAGCCAGTGAGAATCAAGGCAACATACAAAGGAGCTTCCCACAGTAGCAGGCACGGTAGCTGCCTTCTCCAGGGGACGGTAAAGCCCCGGCCACTCTGGACCCCGTTGCTCCTGGTCATGAAGCAGCAGCAGGAAAAGGCTTCGGAGTCAGCAGCACTGGCGCCCCCTTCTGGCTGTGTGATGGTGAGCACATTCCTCAGCCTCTCTGAGCCCTTCCCCTTCTCTGAGGTGAATTCTACAATCCCAGTCTTAGAGGGAGGGCTGCTGTGAGATGAAATGAGGTGACCCTGGTAGAGCATGCCATCTGTGCTCCACAACAGCCCCTGCCGTTACCCTCCCTGGCTGAATGGGCCGCTGGCCAAATACTCCCAGACATACTCCCAGACGAGGAAGGGCTCAAGCCAGTGCATGGGACACCCCATCTACTCACTCCCTTTGGGGTGGCGCAGGTCATCAGGGAGCCCACCCTGGCCGCTGTCTTCACTGCCATCACCAGGTTGGAAGGGGAGGTGTGCAAGTTGACACTGGTGACCACCCCTCCCGTGAGGTCCACAAGAGCATCAGGGAGGTAGCCGTAGTGCAGGTGGGAATAGGATCCACACAGCCTGGGATGGAGAGAGTCAGAGGAAGCCCTGGAATGCCTCTGGTGAGACACTCCAGGAAGAGAGGTCGCACAAGGCTCCTCTGCATATGTCCCAGGCAGGGGACTCCCTGATCCATCCAGATCACAGCCACCCATCTCCCATTCACCTGCATGGAGATTGCTATGCCACCAGCTCAGGGGCATGAGCTGACCTCCCCACCTTCCTCCCCCTTCCTCCCAGGCCTGGACAGCCCCACGAGTGGCAGTGTCATGTAGAGACTGAGAGTGCAGGAGCCACAGGCCAGGGGTCGAATCCCACCCTCACCACACGCTTAGCTGCTTGACCTTGGACAAGTGACTTAACCCCACGGGGCTGTGCACAGCATAGTGCCTGGCACGTGGCAAGCCCTTCATGAGCATTGGCTATTATGATGATGAGTGTCTACTGCTTCCCATTCAGTTTAACAACAGTGTTAAGTACCGACCGTGTGCAGGTTCCATGCCAGGTATGTGCTCACGGATGAGCACGACCCCATTCCTGCCCTCAAAGAGCTAGCAGTCAACAACCCTGATGCCGGCTGTGGCCACAGCAGCCTCTGTTCTCTTGCAAACCCTGATGTGAATTCCCATTCCCCAACCACCTACTCACCCCAAACCATTAGGGAAATAAGTTGACTGTACTGAAGCTAACAGGCGAGAACCAGTCTCACGTAACACACCCCAAAGCCAACCACTTAACACCTCGTCCTGTTCTCCAAAGCACCTCTTCTCACCCTCCACCCACCATGGAGTTTCCGCTTCTGGAAATTCCAAGAAATTGCCCCTGTCTTGTCTTCCTCCTGATTCTGCCCCAAACCTTAGTAGCCCCAGTCACGTACTAGGGAGGCAGACAGACCCTGGACTCAGGAGCCAAACTACCCAGGTCCAACTCCTGGCTTCTCTCTCACGAGTGCTCAGTCCTCAGGTGAGAGGCTGAGCTTCTCTCGGGCTCCCTTGCTCGTCTGGGGAATTGGCACATCACGGGACCCTCCTCAATGCGCTGTTGTGATGGCTTCGCAGTTAATGCATGCACAGCATGTGTCTGGCTCGAGAGGGGCTGGATGTGCCCCTGCTGCTGTCATTATGAGGCACGGCAAGTCGGCGCCCCCTCCCCTCCCTTCTGCCCTCCACAACAGCCTCGCCACTGGGACACACTGTCCTTAGATGGGGGCTATAAATAACAACACGTCACATGTCTTTGCCCCCCTGGCATGTCTATTTGCTACGAGAGCATGTGGACCACTGTGGAATGGAGGAAGGGCCTGAGCACCACCTGGTGTTTTGGGAAAGGCTTCTGGGAGGGGCACACTCTGGGTCGACTTTTTTTTTTTTTTTTTGTCTTTTTCCGTGTCCGGCAACGGATCGCAACCCTCAGTGTCGCCCCCGTACCGGACCGGGACCGGCAACGCGATCGCAACCCTCGGTGTTGCCCCCGCGCCTCGCTCAGCCAGTGAGCGGGAACCGGTCTGTATGTGGGATCCGAACCCTCGGTGGGAGCGCCTCCGCGCTTCCCAAGCGGCGCACTAGCGCAGTGCGCCACCGGGCCGGCCCTCTGGGTCGACTTTTATCCAGGTAAGGAGAGTGGCCCGGGTGTTCCAGGGAGGAAGAATCAAATCGGGGAGGCTCCTGAAGCAGGAAGAGCATGGTGCAGCAGGGCCAGCCATGGGGCTGGGGAGGAGGGCAGGGCAAGCCCAGGAGGCCTGTGCTCCCAGGACAGAGGGTGGCTTGATCCGTTATCACTGGAGCAGGGGCCAGACGAGGTCAGATTTGGTTTGAGAACTCGAGCTCGTCTCAGTGGGGTGAGCTGGAAAGGTTCCCGTGGAATCCTCACATATAGGCAGGGCAAACCCGCAAAGGACATGCAGCTGAAGCCAGGCTGGGCAGGAGACCCCGGGGCTGCCTTCCGGCATGAGAGCTGCCCGGAGGGAGCCCCACTCACTGCCGCCTCCACCATTCGGGCTTCTCTCACCAGGGACCTGCGCATCCCTGTCCCCACTGGGCAAGCAGAGATGGAGCCCTTCTCAGGTCGGTGGCCGGTGGGGGAAACCCCTACCATGGCTTTTTTTCTGGTAATGCAAAATCACATGGGGGTCGGGGCCCTGGGTCCATGCCGCTGCTGCCTCTAATGGGGTCTCCGACCTTGGATAAGAGCGTTCCCCTCCCTGTCCTTGGCCTTTCTTCTGTAAGCAGCGGGGTCAACTGGTTCAGCTCTAGGGACCCTCCTTTCTCACTCTATTTCCACCTCTGCTATCTTCTGCTCCCAGAGATCACCCAGAATTTCAGTAAATTCACTTTAGCAGGTCCCTATCAAGTAGCCACTATAAGCAGGACATGTCCCAGACACAAACACCACAGATGGCTTAGGAAGGCCTTTTATTAAAGAAAGCTAAGGATGCACAGAACAAAGGGTCAATTCTACAGGAACTGCCCTGGGACAGCCTTATCTTGACATGTTTAGAACTGGCTGTACATCTTCTCACCCCGTCTCTCCCTCTCCCTGGCCCCGGGTTATGACTGGCACGAGACGCTCATCTCTGGAGTGTTTGCTTAGGTGACCGCAGAGCTTCCCTGTGATCGTGAGGATGCCCGGAGGGCTTTGCTGAGGGCCCTGGGAGTTCACAGGGACGGGGGCTCTGGAACCCACTCCCTAACGCAGGCCCATCGCAGCAGCCCTTCCTGGTGATGAGCTCAGGGGCCCTCCCTGGCTTCAAGAGGGGCTGTGCCAGAGCCACTGCAGAAGAGCAGCCGGGGGCTCTGTCTCCTCACTTCATTGTCTCATAGACACGGTCCCAATGCCTGTGGGCCTTGTCTGAGGTCTGGCACCCACACCCTTCTGCAGTCACCACAGAGACATCCAACGTGGCAGGAAGGACTCACCACCACCCACAGCTTCCAGAACCTTCTCTCACTCTCATCTGTGAAGTCCACAAAGCCTGTCCCAGCAGCAGCTGGGCATTTTGACAAGGAGCTATCTCTCCGCTTCACAAACACGAGCTCACGGATCCTGCTGATGCTTCGGGAACACGGCAACTATTCTTAGCCCCCTTAGCTGACAGGAAATAGAAAGGAAAGGAAAGAGAGAGAGAACTGTTCAGCACAGCTGTCACTATTCCTTGTCACCTGAACCCAGGAATTCTGAGAGAGCCTGTCCTCGTTCTTCTGCTTCAGCCTCATTTGGGGGAAATGTCTATCTGCCCAGCAATGATATGAGAGAGGGAAGAATTCAGTTGTGTAAGTCAGAGCCAGAAAGGATGCTGAAATGCTGCGGTTCTGAACGGCAGAGATTCTACAGAGGGGGATGCGCAGCCTTCCAGATTGTGTCCTCGACTTCTTTATTTTATGACCTCTGGGGAAAAAGATCCCCAAGCATGGCTGTCTATCCCCCCACATCTGACTGGCTGCACCAGTTCATTTCCAGACTCCCCAGCCACAAGGATAATTGGATGCTGGGAGCCCTTCGTTTACTCGGCCGATGCCTACAGCCTCGCAGGGACAGAGGCCCTCTCCATACGGACACACGGGCAGCCCACACTTGTGCTGTGGTCTCCTGTGCAGATACTGAGTTCCAGTATCTTTTTCTGTAGGGCTGACAATATCAAGGAAGAGGGAAAGAGCACGTGACGAGGCCGAACTATTCTCACCCAGCCTGGCTCAACCACGGCATGACCCTGGGCGAGTCATTTCCCCTCTCTGAGCCTCAGTCTCCTCATCTTTCAAAGAAGAAGGTAGGCTTCGCTGCTGACAGAGGTCCCTTCCAGCTCTGAGGTGCTATAATTCTGTCTGACTCACTCCTGCCTTCTATTGCGTCCTTCTTTGGACAGGGGAGGAAGCTTTCAAAGAGTTTTTTTTTTTTTTTTTTTTTTTTTTGTCTTT